CAAAGAGAACGCACCCTAAAGTTTTAAGGATTCAAATAGGATCATTTCAGGCATAATTTTTCTCATCTAAATGAGCTGGAGAGTTTATGAAGTTGAGTAGCCTATTTTGTGAATGGAACAAGGTAGAAAAGATTAATCTTCGGAGTACTACTCTTCTCCCTAAATGGGAGTTATAACAGAGAATCTCAATTGATGTACAGTTTCACATCTTTGAAAGTAAATTCTACTTGCATACAACTCCTGTGATATTTTTTTTTTTTTTCTCTCTCTCTTTTTTTAAATATCAGCACTAGTCTCTTCTCCACATATAGTCTTAGGTCGTGTAAAGTGAGCTTTCTAAGTGTGAAAAAGGAAAATGAAAATGTGAATATGATCTTTTGGTGTGAAGGTATCATCAGGTACATCTCTCGCTAACCTCTGAACCTGAAAAACTACAGAAAGCAATGAAACTGAAGGAACAATGGAAGAGAACAAAGAGCTATAAAAAGAAGTCATGGCCTATCTTAAGAAACTGAAAACCAGTAGAAACAGATCAGCAGAAATAATGAACCAGCAAGCAACCAGCAGTAGAAATGAAACTGGGAAAACGAAGCTGAAATGAACAGAAAATAAAAGAACGAAAACCAGCAGAAAATAAAGGATAGGTTCAATATGTAAACTCATATTGAAGGAACCGATGAAAGGGGAATTTATTAATTCATCAAGCTCAATTGATAATGGAATTACATTGANTTACAATAATTAAGAAGGATTTGTCCAACGTAATCGTCGTCTTCACCACAACAAATCACTCTTGAGAGGGTTGGAAAGAAATTGCTCTATTGTTTTGGCAGAAGGAGGAACGGTGGTGGGTTGGAAATGGAAAAGGTCGTTTCCCGTGTTTTGGAGTTTTTGTTGGTTTTGGCTTGAAAACTCCAAAACGATGTTTCTGTCATTTTGCGTTTTGTGTAGAAATTTTTTTTCATTTTCAAAAACGTGTTTTCAAAAATAGGAAAGAGAACGCGTTTTCACTGTTTTCAAAAATCGAAAACAGAAAACGACCCGAAAATGACAAAGAGAACGCACCCTAAAGTTTTAAGGATTCAAATAGGATCATTTCAGGCATAATTTTTCTCATCTAAATGAGCTGGAGAGTTTATGAAGTTGAGTAGCCTATTTTGTGAATGGAACAAGGTAGAAAAGATTAATCTTCGGAGTACTACTCTTCTCCCTAAATGGGAGTTATAACAGAGAATCTCAATTGATGTACAGTTTCACATCTTTGAAAGTAAATTCTACTTGCATACAACTCCTGTGATATTTTTTTTTTTTTTCTCTCTCTCTTTTTTTAAATATCAGCACTAGTCTCTTCTCCACATATAGTCTTAGGTCGTGTAAAGTGAGCTTTCTAAGTGTGAAAAAGGAAAATGAAAATGTGAATATGATCTTTTGGTGTGAAGGTATCATCAGGTACATCTCTCGCTAACCTCTGAACCTGAAAAACTACAGAAAGCAATGAAACTGAAGGAACAATGGAAGAGAACAAAGAGCTATAAAAAGAAGTCATGGCCTAGTTCACAAGACAACACAGAAATGTTGCTTGGACTTGTCGATGCAAAAATTGCGTCAAGGGTTTTACTTATGCTGAGGATAAGCAAAGAGCAGATATTTTGGTGCGAAGAAAAGATGAAGAAATTAGCTATATCTGATGGTAAGCTGCAGAGAGATCCATCACCGATCCACTTTCCCTATTAGTTGTGAAAAACCAACCCCAACCCCAACCCCACTCCCACCCCCGTCTTCACTGTGATTACATGCATTTAGGGATGGAATTATAATATGGTGAAATGCTATGGATAACTTGTAGCTGATGTAGTAATTTTAAGGGAAAAAGTTATCTTTCCCGCAATCGCAGAAGGACCTCTGCAATTTTGGTTTGATGAAATCTATTTGAACAGGCTACATAATATTTTTATCGTAGCTGTTAATTTATCAAATAGACATGGAGATATTTTAGTTGTGTGGGAAATTACACATTTTCTTGCATAAAATATTACAGGATCTATATGTTACGAGCAATGTACATGCAAAAATTGGCTCAACTTATTTCGATTCTCGAGTTTCCACTATCTATAAAAATTTCATTTTTTGCTATGATAGTGGAAAAGATGAGTTTATGCTGTAAAAGAAACAATGTGCACATTTCAATGAAAATTTTGAGAATATTTATCCAATTGAATCAACTCTGATACTATTTACCTAGTACTATCTCCTAATCTCATATACAGTATAATTTGATCTATGCCATTAGTATGAATTCTTGTGCGGTTGCCTTTTTGTTTAGCAATAACTAACCTGACATATATTTTGTTGTACGTACCGTTACCATATGGAATTTTAATTTGTTGGTTGCTCTTATAATCAATTTTATTCCATAGTCAGTTATTGAATAATTACGATAATTATATTTAATCTAACTACTAACTAATCATTTTAATGATGTGGTGTGGTGTGGTTGCTCGATCGATTGTGCCATCATTGCCATTTTGCAATTGGAAGAAAATCATTCATTCTGCATATATACCTACTTTATTTTATGCATGCTTCATTATAATGTTTGATCTGTATAACATTAATGATTGATGGGATTTATTATTTGCATCATATCATTATGGCCCCACATATGATTCGGCAGCCAACCAGGGCCCACGATTTTAAAAAAGATTTCTTTGTTATTGTAAAAAATACGAGTAGTATTATTCTTCATCAGTCAAAGTGTTAGACAATGAATCAAGGATCCACTGATACATAGATCGATAAAGAATAGTATTAGTCTCAAAGTATGCACTTGAATTCTTCGATATGGGTGAATTTTGACAAGTAGGGTGCGGCCATGGCAATATATGCAAAACGAATCCAAGGTGGTTACTCTTCGGAGGATGCAGACTTGGTCTCTTGCTTCCATTCTAATACAAAGATTCTACTCTTACTTTCTCTTTCAATCATGATGAGTTGGATCGATTATATATTTATATTCCTTTAGGATAAAAGATACTCAAATAAAAATCTGATTGAGTAATTATTCCATTATTTGGAGTTGCAGAAGGACCCGATTCAGTTAACAAAATTTCTTGGGCTTCCATATTTACAACTCCATTTCAAGCATGCATTCACTTTTGCCCTCTTCATATTCATCTTATTTTATCTTCTCTACTTATCTTTTCAACCAATGGCTTCTTCTGGTTTATCAAATAACCTTCCATACCCCACCCACCCCTCCAATAAAATAAAAAAAAGGTCTGTATTCACGTACACACTGCAGTTATGACTCGATTCATAAGTTGTCACATAAAGATTGTTCGAAAGGGACGAGAATTGATTTAGACTTAGTATGACTCGATCTATAGACACATAAGACTATTTGAAGAGGAGCAAGAATTGATGTGTGGACCGAGACTCGTTCACCCAGTCAAAAAGTGTGAAAGGATCAATGAAAAATAATGATAGATAACATTGTTAAGCATCTTAATTTACGAGCTTTGACTATCACCACTTAAGGCAATAATTAAACTCCCAATTAGTTTAATAGTTGTCGATAGTGGATTTCATTTTCTTTACTAGCAATTAAGAGTCAATAGCCTGTGATTTTTTTTAATTATTTACATTTTTATTTTTATTTTTATAAGAAATACATCATTGATCAATGTGTACATCTTCGTACGTACGTTTCAACTTTGAACAATCAATCAATTAATGAAGTTGAATTATTTTAATGAATTAAGGAAGTGCTCCACCCACTAATTGTAATCACATTCTAAGATGCAAATCAAACGACTTGATGTTCTTTATTACAAGATGGGCTCTCCAATCACTATTAATTAACGACTTTAGTGGCGATGATTCTCCATTCTATGCATATGCTATCACATGTAAAGCTTTCAAATTTCTACATCCAAAGAAGAAAATAAGGAAGAGTACTCATTAGATGGTCAACCCATTGATAATTTCTCGAATAGGAAAATAATGAGGAAGAGTACTCATTAGAGAACTCCTCATCAAAGTTATAGAGTCCACATTAAACGTATGAACAAGAGACGACAGTTAATTCAATATATTCATTTACCAAATATAGGGTAAAAGAATGCTCGAGAGAATCTATATCTTCATTCACGGGAAGTGTAGGAGATGAAAGAGAAATCTTTGTCCAATAAATTTAACGAAATTGTGAGTCGACGACTTACGAGTCGTGAGTTTGTCATTCGCACACGCATTTGTCCCACTCACCTCGTGTTAGTTAAATTAAATATGCTATAAATGAGTTAAATTGCAATAAATGAGACATTAGGAATCTGCATATAACAAGGCCACCCCCAAGTTGGATTGTAAATAGAAACTGAATATATTTGGGTAAATTTCATCCGGACTACTTTCAACAAAATTTCAAGTGATACCTTAGAAATAAAAATTTTAAAATTAAAATTATGAAAATATAGTCAAATTAAAAAGTTAAAAGATGCATATATACTTTCTTTTATGATGTGACTTAGTAGTAAGATAAGCTAAGCTAAAATCGGTTTTGCTACTGGTACATCAAGGTGTATATCGGCGTGTACATCACACTCACATGGGGGGTGGGACCCGCTTGAATAAAAAAATATTTTTATTCAAGTAGATCCCACCCCCCATGTGAGTGTGATGTACACCTTGATGTATAATTCTTGATATACAAGTAGCATTTTTGAGGCTAAAATACCATGTAATGTCTATCAATTGAGCATTTTTTTCTCAATTTGGAAGCCAACAAATAATTCAATTAAAACTAAATTAAAGCACTCTATTGAGATTCAACTACGGTTTTCCTAAAAGTTGCATATGAAATTTATGCAAATGTATTTCTCTCTCTACTCAAAGAAGAAGTGGACGCACCTCTAATTATTGATTTGACCGCAAATTCATCTTTAATTTCCACTAGTAAATATAAAACTAGATAGATTATTTCATCTTAATATCTTTCCTTTTAGGATCCGTTTGATTGTAAAGGTGGAAAGAAAATATTTTACTGGAATTGAATTGTCTAAAAATTGTTTTAGTGGGAATTGTAATTAATTATGTTTGATTGGTATAATTTTCCACCTGAAAAATGTTGAAAGGTTGGTGTCCGTTTGACTTCATTTTTTATGAAAATTGTTCATTAAAGTGATAATTTTTTCTACCATTACGTCTAAAATTTGTTCCAATAACCAAAAAGTAAAAAAAAAAAATTA